TCGAAATCTCAGAGACAGCAATTAGTTTTCACCAAGAACAATTGCAGAAAAAGTCAAAGAAGCTGGTTTTCATTATAATTGTTCATCCAAGAATACAAAAGGGGTAGAGAAGCATAAAAAAGAAAGACAAAAATAAATGGCAAAAAAGCAATAACCAAAAGCAAAATCAAATTGGGTCTTTAATTGCAGATTCTGTCAAAAAATATAAGTGAAAAAAAAACAGCACAAAATGGAACACGATCAAAAAATACCGCACAAATAAACAAAACTATACTATCACATTAATAATAGACAATTTATCAAACAGAAAATGGAACACAATCGTTAAATAACCACAACAAACTAATTAGAAAACAATACAATTACATAAATAACAGACCAAAATGATCAGACAAGAAAAAAGAAAATAACTAAACAAATACTGAAACATAATTGAAGCACTAATAACATTATGAAGGCATTAGTGTAAGCTCAAAACCGAAACAAAAGAAGAAAGGAACGACCAGTGTTCAAAAATACTGACTCAAGAACATACCAAGTCGGACCATTGTTATTTTAACATAAGACTCAGGGCAAGTCCCGAGGTTTTCCCTTTGGACATGCCTGTCCCCCAACCCATGCCAGAGTCAGCGAATTTTATTTTTTTTTAACATTGGCAGGGATTATCAGAAAAATCCCCAAATTAATCATTTACATGCGCACGAGTTAACATTGGCAGGGATTATCAGAAAAATCCCAAAATTAATCATTTACATACGCACGCAAGCGCACACGCACGTGAAAATACATGAGCACACAAATACGCATGCAAACCCTAGATATAGATTGATTAGTCATAAAAGTCGATTTCTTTACAAAACCCAAAAAGGAAAAAAAGAAATGTTCATGCACACCAAGAGACAGAGCAATGGGTCAGAAGAAGCAGTCAAACTCCAAAAAAAACCTAAAAAGGTCAAGATGAGGGAAAAAAGTGTAGAGAAACCCAAAAATGAGTGCACAATAATGAACAACCAAAAGAGGGAATTTGTCGTGCCATACTTTTCGGTGAATCTCTTTTGCTGCTGTAGCTCAGCTCTGGCAAAGAATTCTTCCATCTCGCATGCAGTGGGCGCATGGCGACGACTTTCACTTCGTAATCTTCGGTTGGAGGCCGCATTCGTAGGCCTCGTTGTTGAACCCGGAGTCTCCAAAGATTCTGGATCCCTAATTAGACTTGAAGGTGTGGTTTCCCGGATACCCCTGTTATTAAGTCGAGAACCAAAAAAGGAAGAGAAATCAAGACCATTAACTGATATCTTTATACAGGGATTCTATCCAAAGATCTAAAATCTATTTTTCTATCTATTGATGAAAAAAGTTTAGAAGCCAAACATATTCATGTATTTATTTTTTATGTTGGAAAAATTTACAACGAGCATAAATCAATTTAATATTAACATGGGAAAAGAAGAATTTTCATGAATGGATGAGAAAAACCATAGTTGAAGTGGGAAGGGTGGGTTCCCTAATTTATTTTATTTTTTGGGGTAGATGGGTTACCTAATAGTCCTGTCATTCACATATAAAGCCCCATAAAAATCAGCAATCCCATATTTTATATGGACAATAAAACTATCAACGTGTAAAGTTACAGAAACAATCAATAAAAAACATGCATTAATAGGAGGTTTTATGTCCACAAAAAAAAATCAATTTGGAGAAATTAGGTTTAATAACGGATAGTTCAAAGGCAATTAGCATTTTCCTTGGGACAACAAAGCAGCTCATCACTCTGTTTCCTTAATCAAAGTAAAACCAGAGTGTGTTTCTTTCTTTTCCGATATTTAACATAATACAAAATTTCGGATAATAATAGCATGCTCAAATACTGCTTTTCCAGCGAAAAAGTGGTTTTTCTGAGACAAAAATGAGCTACAAAAGGGTCCTTGTGTACAAGAGAAGAAACCAGAAAACCACTTGGCTAATAAAACCATTTCCAAGTTTTCGCACAGTAATTGTGTAATTGAAAAAAGCGGGAAAACCACTTCAATGACAACCGACATGCAGAAAAAAGAAAGGCCCTTATCTTGGAGCACCGAACTCATAGAACAAGCACATAGCCATTTTTAGAGAGAAAAGCTTCACAGAAGGTGGTTTTCAAATACCAGAAAAGTTCCAAACAGAGTGGCTAAGAGAAATCCAAACTACAGCAAACCATTTCACAAAACAGATACATAAAAACTTCAAAACCGCTAAAACATAAAAAAACCACCACTAGAAGCAGTTTTGCACAGTACCCATGTCACAGAAACCATTCCAAAACCGCTTTAGAGAGGTTTTTTCGACAGATGCTTTCATGGAACAAGTTTAAGAAAGAGAGAGGCAGGAAGAGATAGGAGTCATCAGTTGTGGCGGTTTCAAAGAAAAACCCGTATTCCTGACACTATCAGAAAACCCACAGTAACAGAAAACCACCATGAAAAGTTCTCAAACTGAAATGTCTATGTACTAGAAAGATAAAAAGTTGAAAACCACTTCTAGAACAAAAAGCACCACTAAACTGGTATTACAAATGACTGGCTCCAAAAAGATGAATGAATGAACACAAACTGGAAAACCACTTAAAATCAAAGGAAACAGGTAAAAAATCTACAATTAGAAAGAGAAGCATCACATAAAAGTTGGTTTTGAACAGTAGTTACAAGTGGTTTCACGAAAACCCTTAAACCGCCAAAATCGAGTTTGAAAGGAAAAGCAGTTTTGTAATACCACTCTTCTAGAATGAAAGCGGTTTTACACAGTAACAAGAGGAACAAGCGAAACCCCTTTGGAAAGAAAAAAAAAAAAAGTTAGGTTTTGCAAGAAACACAGTTCAAAACCACCCAAGGGGAGCAGGGAGATGGAGAAAGAGATTCTCGGCACCAGTCACGAAGCGAGAGCGATTCTCGGCACGAGTCAAAGAAAAAAAAAAAACCATGTTCGAATAATTCTTCTAGAGAGAGAAAGATGGTTTTATGATAACAGCTCAAAAAAAAACCCTTTCTGGATAGGACAAGAGAGAGAAACAGGGGTTTAGAGAGAGAATAGACGGGATTTCGCCATACCTTTCTCTAACATCAAAGTCGACAACATTCTCTCCAAAAGAAGCTTCAACGCCAGGTTCGTTCTCTAGGGTTTGAGACGCAACCGGTTTTGCACAATCAACTGAAACCACCTCCTCTCCGTCCCTGGTTTTCGAGCAACTTTTAGAGAGAGAGACCGAACCAGCAGCTGAACCACTCTGACCAATCCTAGGGTTTGCGGCGTTTCCCGAATGCGACTGTTTTGAACCATGATTAGGGTTAGGGTTTGAACCAGTCGAAGTGGTTTTGGGGGTTTGAGGAGAGTGAGTTTTATCTGGAAAAGGTGGTTTTTCCAGGCGACGGCTTCGAAGCTGGAGATAAGAGGTAGGTTTTTGCAGGCGAGCAGTAGCTGTGGCGCTCTTTTGCAGAGCAAGCGTTCGAGCTCTGGTTCGAACACCAAGAGAGGGTGACGAGACCTCCATTACTGCAACTTCTCCTGAGCCTTTTCCTTTTCTCATGTATTTACCCATGGCTCTCCGCTCATAGAGAGAGAGAGAGAGACAAGAAGAAGATAAAGAGAGAGAAACAGAGATTAATTTTTTAAAGAGGGGAGATCAGTGGGAAAGACAGAGATTGGGGATTCAGGATTTTAAGGTTTTCAATGAATAGAGAGATAAATAAGGAGAGCAGAGCAGAGAACTGGTGTATGCATGTCGCTTAGAGAGAGAAAGCGAGGAGACGGTTTGAGAATGTTGGTTTTCCGAAACAGTAGAGAGAGGGAAGCTTCGGTATGGGGTTTGACGGTCCAGAGAGAGAAAGGGGTGTTTGGGCTTGTGGGGCAAAGAGGAGAGAGAGAGAGAAAGACTGGAGTGGAGGTTTAACCAGAGAGCGGGAGAAATGGTTTGCAGAGATGGGTTTTAGAGAGAGAGAGAGAGGCGGGAGATGTAGAGTTTAAGCCGTGAGAAAGGGAAATGGGTTATAGCAGAAGAGAGAGAGAGAGAGAGGGTTTTAAGAAGAGAAGGGAGGATTTGGAGAAAGGTGTGGGGTTATAAAGGAAAGGCAAAAGGGCAACAATGTTGTAGGGTTTTAAGAAGAGAAGGGAGGATTT